AAAAAGACCTTCTGAAGATAGAAGAAATTGCTATTCCAAGATGCTATTCTTTGGCAGTTCCAGAATCCAACACGCGACAGTTGCACGTTTTTTGTGATGCGAGCAAGAAAGCGTTCGCCGCTGCAGCTTACCTCCGAATTCTGTCTGAAAAAGGAATTGACGTCTGCTTGGTGATGGCTCGAGCAAGGGTAGCACCTACGAAGCCAATCTCGATTCCGCGATTGGAGCTCCAAGCTGCACTCATGGGTAGTCGACTAGCCAAAACTGTAAGAAGTACTCTAGACATAGACATTAGCGAAACCTTCTTCTGGTCAGACTCGACTACAGTTTTGTATTGGATACGGGGTGATGCCACAAAGCTCGGACAGTTCGAAGCCCATCGTATCGGAGAAATACAAGAACTCACGAATTCTGAAGACTGGCATTGGATTCCTTCAAAGCTAAATGTCGCTGATTGTGCCACCAGAACATACAGCAAAGATGAAACCATTAATTTTGAAGTATGGCTAAGAGGCCCAGAATTTTTATACACTGTTGATCAAGAATTATGGCCAAGGAATTGTATCGAGGTCTATGCACCAGAATCAACAGAGCTTCATGATGAACATGTTCTGATATCGACTTCTACAGAGGAAATGTCGTGTTTGCCTGACATCGAACGTTTTTCCAAATGGTTGCGATTAATTAGATCCACAGCATTTGTATTAAGATTCAAAAATATTATTCTTGCAAAAGTTAAAAAAACAAATGAATCATTCCCCAAGAATCTAACTGTTTCAGAATTAGAAGAAGCTGAACAGCTTTGGGTAAAGTGCACCCAGTATGATTGTTTTAAAAATGAAATTGACTGCGTGAAAGCTAATAAATGTTTTAATCGTCAAAGTCGATTGAAAAACCTGTCACCAACATTGAACGAAAACGGACTTCTAGTGTTGAGCGGAAGAACCGACCGTGCCCTCGACATGGCGTACTCTACCAGACGACCCATAATTCTTCCTCGCAGAGTTTATGTCACGAGCGTAGCGAGTGGCATAATTAACCTTAGTGAATAATAGCTCATTATATGCGAGTAGAATACTATACTTTGTCCACGACTACTATATTGTCCTTGATATATGAATTTATTTTCAACAACTGTTTTATCATAACTTATTTGACATTAGGAAAACTGAAAATTGAAGATACCTGTTATATTAATTCTTTCTAAGACTATTATAGGCCTATTCATTCAAATTGCACCCATTATTCCTATTATCATTGTGACCTGATGAGGATGAATTTTATTTCATGAATACTAGTTAAGCAAGTTTTTTTCATGTCTTACCTTCATTGTAAGATATTTTTCATCACATGCCTGATTCAAAAATTTCTAGAATTTATATGCTTCTTTCGGATGAAAGCCTTCAGACTTCCTTTTTAGAAGTGAATGCAGTTTTACATAGTTTTTTATATTGACTCCTTGATTTATATTAAACATACTCCTGAGCATCGAGTGATGTGTCCATAATGTGGATGGCTTATATTTTGCAGCTAATTCCGTGAAATATACCAGTAAGACTGACTCTGAGAATGAATGAATTTTCTTAGACGCCCTCCAGTTCATGCAGGTGTTGTACACAGATGCATACAGATTTCGGGAGTTCTCCGGCAACGAATTCATTGACGTGACTTTTGCAGCTTCTATTATCTCTGGTGAAGTACACAATATCTCTTCGTCACTATCAATATCCATTTTTTAGGAATTATAACTGAAACACCGCGTGTCGTCGAAATTTGACGTTTCAACAATGACAACTATTTATGATTATCTTGTCATGTTCATACATGTCAATGGCTTCCGTATTCGATATCATCTTGATATAGTCTATTTGATACTAACATCTTATTCCAAGTATACATACATTATAAAGAGAGGAATAATGTAATACTGAGGAGGTATATCAAGATTTCTATATATTTGAATATGATTCGTATGAAGTTAGCTAATTAATGTACCTAGCTATAGCCTGAACGTGTACGTGTGATAAATGCATTTATCGTGTACCCTACGAACTCTAGACCAGTGAATAATGATTATTCACCGCTATTATTCACTGGTGTGGAAAATGGCTATCGTTTTGCTTGAGGAAGTACATGTATTATGAATATTTTATACAACAGTCGTGGACAAAAGTATTTTTCGACCATATCAGACGAATCTTTGATTCAAAAGACGACGAACTAACAACTATGGTGTTTCGTGACATTTTGAGGTGGGCAAACATGAAACAAAATATTACTCACAGCTCTCAGCTTAGATCTCACCATTGTCGGCTAAATGTGAGAAAAAAATCAAGTTGGCTGATCTCACTTTTGTCACCTTTTGTGTCCTATATACTCTTGTCAAACTCTTGTCTAAGGTATATACAGGGTCTCTAACCTCTAACCAGAACGACCGTCGATTTTCTCTGGTAAGTTCGGTAAGTTTGAGCATCTCAGTTGTCATCAAGGTCTATTAACTTGAGTTGTCATCAACTCATCATGGCTATATTCCGAATTCAACTAACAGTACAGAAACTGCTGTTTTTTCATTCCGAAATCGAAAAAATTCACTGAAAGTGACAGATACTTGTGAGCAGAAATACTATTCATTCCAAATATTCCGACTCAACATTTTGCTGGAATTACTGCGACTATCGAAAGGTAGTGTGACTTCAGTGAACTGTGATTATTCTCGAAACGGGAGGAATTTCACATCAATTCACGTTGTTCTTCAAACATTAGGCCTTGTCTTATCAATAATAAATTGATAATAATGATAAAATATATATTATTGAAATAATTGACGCTTAGAATAATATGTAAATTTCACCAGCTGATCAACTGCTGCTAATTACTGATGAAAACCATGAGAACGATCCAAATTACAGCACTGGGCGTGTTTTTCATTCCATCGAAGAAAGTGCGCACTGATAGATACAAGAGTCTCGAGATCATACCCGTGTGTTCACCGAACACGCTCGATCGTTACCTAAGTGGTGGGGAGACCGAGACGTAAGCAGGCAGTCATGATACAATGAGTGGGCAGGCAGCTTCTCTCATGCTGTCTTTGTTTTTGTAGTACGGGGTGGGCCACCAACAGTTTTCTTGATCACATTTCAACATTTTTTTTTTCGAATAAATAAGAAAGGCATCAAGTGATAGGCATCAAGTGATCTACTGCGACCTATCAGATAATGAAAGCGATGATTTGATTTACAATAATTCGCTATGTCCGACGCTATGTCACGACGAGTCCTACATGTAAATAGCGAACCACTCATCGAAAATCATGAAACGCTCGTTTTTATTCAAATTATTTTCGATAATGTTCATCTGCTTCACTAGAAATTATTATTAGTAGTTATGTAGTACTTAGTAGTATAGTAGTAGCAGCTTTGTTATTCAAAATGGAACACCTTATATTTTATTACATTTTTCGATTCTTCTAATTGAGCTATGATTTCGTTGATCAAGCTCAAGGTAGGTATACCTATACGTAGAATGTGAAAAATCGAGATTTTTTTTGTATCGAAACTATACACAATACCTATATTGATTTGTCAAAATGGCTTACATGTGTCCCTATCCTAACATTCTATTTACTATCTACTGATGCCATTTAATTGAAACAAATACAGAGGGTGGATCAGATTTCAGAATTATATAAAAGAAGTACTAGAGTATGACTACTAAAAAAATATATATATTTGAAATAAAAAAACAAATATATCACATAAAAAAACACACTCTAATATTCAACATAAAATAAAATTCAATCCCACTGGATGTATTTAAAAATATAAACAGTGTGCATGTCACTTCTATATAATGGAATATCAACCCGTATATCTAACGTAACTGTTCAATTTTAAGGAGCGATAGATATTACCAACTATGACCAAAGTGAGGTAATCTTCAGTAAAAAACACTGCTCTGGTCATGGACCCACCAACATTTCCGGAAAATGATATTAGGAGGCAAGATAGGTTAAAAATCACTTCGGATTCGAAATCAGGACGGTACCCTGTACCTCGAAAACGAAGTAATTTTAGGACACATGTTTATATGACCTTTATTCATTATATTATATCACAAGGAATCATCCCTTGAATTATTTCGGTGTTATTTAGATACACCCTGTATAGATCATTCTTCATCCCAACATTTTTCCCATAGCGAAGTTCAGCAAATCAAATACCGATGGCGAGAGCACTATGTTTATTGATTTGATGTCTACCTATAATATATGTAAAACAAGAAGGCACAACTACTGAACTACTAGTGTTCCGTTTTGACTCCAAAATAATTCAGGCACGCGCCAATATTCATAACGTAGTTACTGGCCTGTTTACGTTTCCCCACCGCTTAGGGAACGATCGGGCGTGTTCGGTGAACACACGGGTATGATCTCGAGACTCTTGTCTGATAGATGCGGTTTTTTGTCGTGACGTCACCAATTGTTCTGTTGGAATTTATGCTGGAAGGATTGAACAATGGTTTATACAACACATTGATAGAAACACGGATTTTGTTGTGTGTCAGTCATCATGTATCTTGAGAATCAGAAAAGGCTAATTCGACTTTATTGATTAACACTGACTCTTTCTTCTAAAATCTCTCAAGAATCTCAAAAATCCTCAATATTAATTGTTTTCTATCAAATCAAAACAAAAAACAACACCAAAATGAGTCAACTGTCATGTCAATCTCCTCCAAACTGCTGGATTCTCGAAATGCGATTTAAAAGTGCGCATTTTATTACAACAGTTTGATGGATGTCCATCAACATTCCAGCGGAATTTTGCAACAGTTTGATGGTTTCTTCGATTCATGCGCATGATAAAATGTTGGAATGAAAAACGCACCCACTGTATCTTTGATTTTATATATCGGAACACAGATTTCCAGCAGAGTCAGTGGATTTACTTAGGGTCCCTTGATGGAAATTGACGTAAAAGTCACCTTAACAGGGTACGGACCACAGAACTTAAACACAGAGGAGAAGGGAAAAACAGTGTTATGATTCTGTTCCTACAAGGACAACAAAAATGGCGCTGATAGCCCCTTGATGAGTTTGCGCATTAGCATGCATTAGTAAATGTTATTTGTCAATGACATTGTTTATTTTTTGTTTAATTACAATTTCTCAGTTTTTTCCTTTTTACCCTAGATTTTTTTCTACGTTTTTGAAGTGTTATCATCATGCCTGAAAGATGTTTCATTTGGTCTTGCCAAAGCAGTGGTAAACTCCCAAATATTTACTATTTTCGGTAAGTAATCCTTTTTTTAGGTTACTAAACAGACCCGGCTTGGAAAATTTTTAAACCAAAACATGCTTTAATTTATTTTGTTGTTTTAGCTTTGGTTCCAGGAAGGAACTATGGCTTGAAGCCTTGGGAATACCTGATAAGGATATAAGTTCTAGGAATCTTCTTTGTTCCAAACATTTTGATGCATCAGATGTTGTGTTTCCTGATAGTGAACATGGCAGAGTAAGGCTCAAACCAAAAGCTGTGCCCAAACATTTCATAATCAAAAGGAAATCAACTGACATTCTTTCTTCTGAACCCCCGAAAAAAAAAGTTGCAAGGTATGTGATTACTTTGATTAAAATCTCCAGATTCCCTGATTTGTTTTCATACCTACTAGTTGTTATAAAACAGATTTCTTTTATCATAGCATGCAAATTAACTTTTGGAAATGATGATACTGCTGTTAACTCAAGCACTACAAAATGAAACATTCTGATGGAGTATTTTTTATAGGAAACACCATGATATGTTGGAACAAGAACAACCTTCCACATCCATGAATAAACAACCTAGTAATAATTATGAAGCAGAAGTTGTTCATATCCCAAAGCACATGAAAGAACAGTATGTATATAACTTATAATATTCAATAATTTTTTACCAAAATACTTCCTGAAATACCTACTATAACCTCGACTATAACTGCCTTCCACCTCAATATATTGAAGCTGATTATTTAATTCAAGCTTGTATTTATGTTTCATTTGGATATGAAATATCATGAAAAAGTAATCTATAGGTAGATAAGTTGATACCTATTATTGAAAAATGTGTAACAATAGTGTAGAAGTCCATATACTTAACTCCTGTTTGGTTTTGTGTTTGCCTCTTACCATGTGTAACATTGTTTTAGAAAATACTAGTGAATGCATTTTTTTTCAGGCTTTCCAGTTCAACTGATAGTGCTGGACTGAAGCATACTCCTAAAAGAAATAGGAGGCTAATTAAAAAAATTCATACATACAGGTGTGTACATTTCCTTATACTAAAGAAGCTAGCAAAGCCACTTTCGATTTTCAACATGAGACACATTTCATAATTTTAGGCTCATTTTAGGCTAATTTATTACCCCATTCCCGAATTTTTTGCTCCTCCCTATCATAGAAAAATTTGTGGCTTTGCTAGCTTCGGCCGAACTCAGCAAAGCCATTTTTGAAAAACAATATTTTTTGAATATCTGATATAGTGAGAATGTTGTGCTCATTTTAGGCTAATTTATTACCCTATTCCCAATTTTCTTGCTCCTCTTTATCATAGAAAAATCTGTGGCTTTGCTAGCTTCGGCCGAACTCAGCAGAGCCATTTTTGAAAACATAGAATTTCCACCGATTTGATATATTGAGGTCAAATGGCTAATTTTAGGCTAATTAATTACCCTATTTTCGAATTTTGCTCCACGTTTCAAACAGAAAAAATACAAGACAATTTGTCGAAATACGCGTCATTCACTGTACATTATGTATTTCTATCAAAAGCATATTTTATGACGATTTCATGAGGGAAAGTGTTAGTATCGATTGTAAGCTTGATGACTATCCCATTTTGGAATTTTTGGCTACATATTTTTTAAAAGAAACCTGTGGCTTTGCTGGCTTCGGGCGAACTCAGCAGAGCCATTTTTTAAAATAATATATTTTTCACTGATTTGATATATCCATATTGAAGAGCTAATTTAAGGCTAATTAATTACCCTATTTTAAAATTTTTTGCTCGATGTTCGAGCAGAAAAAAACCGAAACGATTCGTCGAAATACACGTTTATTCACTATACATTATGCATATCTATCAAAAGCATATTTTATGACGATTTTTCAAGACAAAGTGTTAGTATCAATTATAAGCTCAATAACTAATGCATTTTGAAATTTTTTGCTGCATATTTTTCGAAACAAACCTGTGGCTTTGCTGGCTTCGGGCGAACTCAGTAGAGCCATTTTTTAAAATAATATATTTTTCACAGATTTGATATATCGATTTCGAAGAGCTAATTTTAGGCTAATTAATTACCCTATTTTCGAATCTTTTGTTCAACGTTTCAAACAGAAAACATACAAGACAATTCGTCGAAATACGCGTTTATTCACTATACATGATGCATATCTATCAAAAGCATATTTTATGGCGACTTTTGAAGACAAAGTGTTAGTATTGATTATAAGCTCAATAACTATTGCATTTTGAAATTTTTTGCTGCATATTTTTTGAAACAAACCTGTGGCTTTGCTGGCTTCGGGCGAACTCAGCAGAGCCATTTTTAAAACTATTAAATTTTTCACTGATTTGATATATCGATATTGAAGAGCTGATTTCTGGCTAATTAATTACCCTATTTTCGAATTTTTTGCTCAAAGTTTCAAACAGAAAACATACAAGACAATTTGTCGAAATACGCGTCATACACTATTCATTATGTATTTCTATCAAAAGCATATTTTATGACTATCTTTCAAGACAAAGTGTGAGTATTTATTATAAGCTCAATAACTATTTCATTTTGGATTTTTTTGCTGCATATTTTTTAAAACAAACCTGTGGCTTTGCTGGCTTCGGGCGAACTCAGCAGAGCCATTTTTAAAAATATTATATTTTTCACCGATTTGATATATAGGTATTGGAAGGCTAATTCTAGGCTAATTAATTACCCTTATTTCAAATTTTCTGTTCAACGTTTCGAACAAAAAAAACACGAAACGATTCGTCGATATATGCGTTATTCACTATACATCATGCATTTCTATCAAAAGTATATTTTATGACGATTTTATAGGGTAAAGTGTTAGAATAGATTGTCAAAGCCACAGGTTTCTTTTAAAAAATATGCAGCAAAAAATTTCAAAATGCAATAGTTATTGAGCTTATAATCAATACTAACACTTTGTCTTGAAAAATCGTCATAAAATATGATGCTTTTGATAGATATGCATAATGTATAGTGAATAAACGCGTATTTCGACAAATTCTCTTGTATTTTTTCTGTTTGAAACGTTGAGCAAAAAATTCGAAGATAGGGTAATTAATTAGCCTAAAATTAGCTCTTCGAAATCGATATATCAAATCTGTGAAAAATATATTATTTTTAAAAATGGCTCTGCTGAGTTCGCCCGAAGCCAGCAAAGCCACAGGTTTCTTTTAAAAAATATGCAGCAAAAAATTTCAAAATGCAATAGTTATTGAGCTTATAATCAATACTAACACTTTGTCTTGAAAAATCGTCATAAAATATGCTTTTGATAGATATGCATAATGTATAGTGAATAAACGCGTATTTCGACAAATTGTCTTGTATTTTTTCTGTTTGAAACGTTGAGCAAAAAATTCGAAAATAGGGTAATTAATTAGCCTAAAATTAGCTCTTCGAGATCGATATATCAAATCTGTGAAAAATATATTATTTTTAAAAATGGCTCTGCTGAGTTCGCCCGAAGCCAGCAAAGCCACAGGTTTGTTTTAAAAAATATGTAGCAAAAAATTTCAAAATGCAATAGTTATTGAGGTTATAATCAATACTAACACTTTGTCTTGAAAAATCGTCATAAAATATGCTTTTGATAGATATGCATAATGTATAGTGAATAAACGCGTATTTCGACAAATTGTCTTGTATTTTTTCTGTTTGAAACGTTGAGCAAAAAATTCGAAAATAGGGTAATTAATTAGCCAAAAATCAGCTCTTCAATATCGATATATCAAATCAGTGAAAAATTTAATATTTTAAAAAATGGCTCTGCTGAGTTCGCCCGAAGCCAGCAAAGCCACAGGTTTCTTTTAAAAAATATGCAGCAAAAAATTTCAAAATGCAATAGTTATTGAGCTTATAATCAATACGAACACTTTGTCTTGAAAAATTGTCATAAAATATGCTTTTGATAGATATGCATAATGTATAGTGAATAAACGAGTATTTCGACAAATTGTCTTGTATTTTTTCTGTGTGAAACGTTGAGCAAAAAATTCGAGAATAGGGTAATCAATTAACCTAAAATTAGCTCTTCGAAATCGATATATCAAATCTGTGAAAAATATATTATTTTTAAAAATGGCTCTGCTGAGTTCGCCCGAAGCCAGCAAAGCCACAGGTTTGTTTTAAAAAATATGCAGCAAAAAATTTCAAAATGCAATAGTTATTGAGCTTATAATCAATACTAACACTTTGTCTTGAAAAATCGTCATAAAATATGCTTTTGATAGATATGCATAATGTATAGTGAATAAATGCGTATTTCGGCGAATTGTCTTGTATTTTTACTGTTTGAAACGTTGAGCAAAAAATTAAAAAAATAGGGTAATTAATTAGCCTAAAATTAGCTCTTCAATATCGATATATCAAATCTGTGAAAAATATATTAATTTCAAAAATGGCTCTGCTGAATTCGCCCGAAGCCAGCAAAGTCACAGGTTTCTTTCAAAAAATATGTAGCCAAAAATTCCAAAATGGGATAGTCATCAAGCTTACAATCGATACTAACACTTTCCCTCATGAAATCGTCATAAAATATGCTTTTGATAGAAATACATAATGTACAGTGAATGACGCGTATTTCGACAAATTGTATTTTTTCTGTTTGAAACGTGGGGCAAAAAATTCGAAAATAGGGTAATTAATTAGCCTAAAATTAGCCATTTGATCTAACTATATCAAATCGGTGGAAATTCTATGTTTTCAAACATGGCTCTGCTGAGTTCGGCCGAAGCTAGCAAAGCCACAGATTTTTCTATGATAGAGAGGAGCAAGAAAATTGGGAATAGGGTAATAAATTAGCCTAAAATGAGCACAACATTCTCACTATATCAGATATTCAAAGAATTTTGTTTTTCAAAAATGGCTTTGCTGAGTTCGGCCGAAGCTAGCAAAGCCACCGATTCTTCTATGATAGGGAGGAGCAAAAAAATCGGGAATGGGGTAATAAATTAGCCTTAAATGAGCCTAAAATTATGAGATGTGTCTCATGTTGAAAATCGAAAGTGGCTTTGCTAGCTTCTTTAGTATCATTTCCTTATGATTACTTAGTGTTCTTTAGATTAATTGAAAAAAACAATTCAACAGTTCTTGAAAAAAAATAGGAATAAAAAACAAGTCCATGGACATTTCATAATATTTAATACATTTAATGTGATTTTTATAACAGCACTACAATTGAGAAAGTTAGTGATAAACTGAAGACACAAAATTCTAGAATCAAGCTCCTAACATATCAACATAAAGTTGAAAAACAGAAGATCAAAAGGCTCAGGAAGAAGGTTGGTCATTTGAATGATGTTGTTCAAGATATCAAAAGAAAAGATTTGTTGAGTCCTGGTGCATGTTCTATACTTGAGAAATCTTTTTCTGGAGTGTCTCTAGCATTGATGAAAAGAATGCTCACAAATTCTAGGAGGGGAAAAGTTGGAAGACAAAAATATGATGCAACACTGAGAAGTTTTGCAATGACATTGCAATTCTATTCCAGTAAAGCTTATGAATATGTGAGAAAAACTTTCAATTTATCATTACCTAGCCAAAGAGTCATAAGAAGTTGGTTGAGTAACATTTCTTGTGAACCAGGATTTTCTCAGCCTGCCTTTGACTCTCTGAAAGAGAAAGTATTAGAGAACAAAAACAAAGGCTACTCCACACTATGCAGTTTGATGCTGGATGAAATGAGCATAAAAAAGCATGTTGATTTTGTAGGTGAAAGATCTTGGGGTTATGTTGATTTTGGGTCCAACTTGAAATTTGATGACCTCACAGATCAGGCCTCTGAAGTTCTGGTTTTGATGCTGGTTGCCCTTAATGGACAGTGGAAGTTACCAATTGCATTTTTTCTGGCCAAATCATTGAATGGGGCAGAGAAGGCCAATATCGTACGTGAAGCACTGAAGATGGTACATGAATGTGATGTAATTGTTACATCACTAACATCTGATGGACCAAGTGCAAACTTCACGATGATGAGTGAACTTGGTGCAAAATTCAAAGATTTGAATAACATTCAACCATATTTTCTGCACCCTGTTGATGCAACGAAAATATTTATAGTTTTTGATGCCTGTCACATGATGAAATTAATCAGAAATAATTGGGCAGTATTGAATAAATTTGTGGACCCTGATGGTGGTATTGTAGACTTCAAGTATATAACTCTGTTACACCAGCTTCAAGAACAAGAAGGGCTTCGTCTTGGAACAAAGCTTAAAAAAGCTCATATGGAATGGGAGAAACAGAAGATGAAGGTCCCTACCCTTATTCAATACAACTTTCAAAATAATATCTTCATTTATTATTGCCACATTTCAAACTGGCTTCTCAAAATCTTCAGGAAAAAAATATTTATTAGTTTCTCTTTGTTTTCAGGTTAATTTGGCAGTTCAGACTCTGAGTGATAGTGTGGCTAGTGCTATAGAATTCCTCATGGTTGATATCAAAGATCAAAGATTTGCAGATGCTGCTGCCACAATAAGATTCATTCGACTTGTGGATAAAGTTTTTGATCTTTGTAATTCAAGGACTCCCATGACAGTAAGGATGAAAATGCCTATTCGAATCCAGAATGAGGATTTGTGGTTGCCAGTCTTTGAAGATGCAATTCATTATTTCTTGAATTGCAAAGATCTACAGGGTAAACCACTTGTATCAACTACTAAGAAAACACCATTTCTCGGATTTATATTGACAATCAAATCAATTATTGGAATATATGAAGCCCACATCAAATCTGCTGATGCCAAGTTGAAATATTTGCTCACATATAAACTGAGCCAGGATCATTTGGAATTATTCTACTGCAGTATTAGGTATTATTATTATCATTATTATCATTATTATCATTATTATCATTATTATCATTATTATCATTATTATTATTATCATTATGAGCATTTTGGACTTTTACCAAACATTGGTATTATTGTTATAATAATAATAATTATTATTAATAAAATTCCAATGAGTTTGAGATGTTTGAATATAAAAACATTCAAAAATAAAATTAAAATATGGATTATGGGAAATGCAAACAAAATTGATGATCTTTTTTAACATTTTTTAATTATTTAAAATATTTTTTCAATAATTTCAATGATTTTTAATGTTTTCAAAACTTTTTATTTGTTTTCTTTTTTCATTTATTTTCTCTTTTTAAACTTTATTATTTTATTCAATTATTTAAATTCGATTTAAATATTTACATATTTAGATTATAAAGAAACCAAGATGTTTTTTTTTTACATGAAATACTTAATCTTTTTCACACACAGGTAGCTAACCTATGTGAAGAAGATTGGATTTGAATTATATTTATAATTAATTTCGTTCCATGAACATGTGTATTTTTACTCAATGAATAAAATTGAATTGAATTATAAAGATTGACCAAGTTTGTAGGCCAGTCATAATAATAATAATGATAATTATTATTAATATTATGACTGGCCTACAAAACTTGGTCAATCTTTATCCGGATCTTTATTATCATATTATATTTCTCTGTTAACCATTATATTTCTCTGTTAACCAATATATTTCCCATCTACAGGTCCAGAAATGGTTGGAATAATAATCCTTCAGCTTTACAGTTTTGCCGCAGTTATAAAAGACTGTTATTACATCATGACATCAAGAACATGAATGGAAACTGTGTGGCTCAAGATTCAACAAATGTGTTGTATACTACACATTCCAATAGGACAACCATACCATTAGACTCTACTGATATTCATATAATCAGAAAGTATTCATTGGAAGTTGAGGAATCCTATTTACATGATCATGACTATAGTATGCCAATCAACCCTTCCTTGAGTGATATATCTACGAATGTTGTAGCCTATGTAACAGGATATGCTATCAAAATGGCTATAAAATTGATCAAGTGTCCAACTTGTATTGAAGCTCTACAATCTCATGATACCAATAAAGGGGATTATTTATCACTCCTCTTGAGAAAAAAGTGGGGTAATTTAATAGTACCTTCTGATGATAGCATAAAAGTATGTACATTAGTGGAGAGCAAACTGAGGAATGTACTATCTGTGACTGAGAACAAAATTCCAAGGGAACCCCAATTCTTAAATTATTTCATTTCAAGTGTTTATGGTGAAATTATGCATCGTCCTTTATTTTTAGACATTGATGATCATAATAAGGAATTTTTGATCTTATCTGAGAATCATAAGACTAGAATAATAAAATCTCTATGCGTTTCATATTTGAAAATAAGGCTCTTCAATTTAGCAAAGTCACAGAGCTATGAAATAAAAGGTGATTTAATTAGGAAGAAATTAAGCAAACTAGTACTTTTCAGTCATCAATGATTTTTTTGTATTCATCAAGTTGATATTTATTGTGGGAAAAATAATTAAAACAAGTGGAATATGGGTATAACAATGTTATTGTTTTTTAGTAATATATATAATTCCAATTTCATTTGCTTTTTTCATTTCAAGATTCATCATACCTGTCCCTTTGTAACTTGTTCATTTTGAATACAGATATCTGGACCCACTGTGAATTAAAAAAAAACAAATCCATGCATTTTCTTGTAATATTTTCGATAATATGGCTTTCCAAATTAATATACTACAGCTTCAGCTATTTTCCAGAAATTCATAGTGGGCCATCCTGTAACACAGCCCTCATAGGACGACACGATTTCGTGCAGGTAATATTGTGAAGAAGTACCTACAATACCTACTAGTGTAGGGAAAAACTACTATTAAATTGAATAAAAACAGAAACTCAATGGATTGATAGTGAAGATGTATTATTATAAACATCTCAGTGAAGATTTAGCATTTGACAATTATCATCGATGTCATTTTATAGTGTTGTGCGACAAACAAAACTGAACACAGATTTTCCCATCAATTTATTTTTATCCAGAAAAAACTGCTTTTTTTCCTCATTTCTATGACTTGAGTTGAAACAAATGCTTAGAACTGCTGTTGGACAACAAATAAAACGAAGCCGTCTCTGAGCACAAGTTAGTGCGCAAACGCGTCAAGGGGCTATTTCCGCCATATTTCATCTCCTAGTAGGAACACGGCAATGAATTTGTAATTCCCTTCTCCTCTGTGTTTAAGTTCTGTGGTACGGACAGATCATAGCTGCATTCTTTTTTAATGATCTAGAGACTTTAGTTTTGTCTATTGGCATCCCTGACATTGCTGTCACGTCATAATCATGGGCGCTACAAAAATCATTCAAAATTTTAATAATAGGTATGTACAGGGTATTTACAAGTATTTACTTGTTGAGGAAGATCAGATAGCAAACGAGTTTTGTAATTATGATCCGATTCCATTCAAAATTAGAAGGTATCTGGGGTTTTCCGGGGTTGCAGATAATGATTGTTTCGTCAAACTTGGAAAATTATTCAAGATGGTGAATCCAATATAGAGCGAAAGAAATTCCTAATTATGATCTGCTTCTATTCAAGATTGGTATCTGGGGGTTTTCAGGGTAGGAGATAATGATTGTTTCGTCAAAATTCGAAAATTCAAGGAGACGGATCCAATATGGCGAAATACATCAGTTCATATAATTATCACTCTACCACAAATACAAAATATGTAGGATGCAAGAGTGAAAATAACGTGTCTGTAAGTTATACTGCGTATACCTACTTCTCTGTTACTTTCATCAATAAATTATTCGAAAATGACTTTTTATTCAGGGGAGACGGAAAAATCATATGTATAACATTGGGGTAAAGTATTTTGTATCATTTATTTTCCTGCACATTCAACGTATTACTTTCCATCAGCCTTGAGCCTACTTTTCGTCCCAGATGAAGTTTTATACATAGTGTCATATTAGTCACTCCATAAATTCTTTTCAGAATTGTATTTCCGAAAATATATTGAGCAAACATGACATGAATACAGTATTTCAGATACATACCCACATCGAGCTTTCTACCATTTCTCAATCATAAGGTTCAGCTCATTCAGCTCATAGATAAACTTCTGCTCAGCTTGAAGTCAGAATTCATTTAGTCAATCAGTCAACCCTAATTTACAGTCTAAGAACAGTCCCTTTTGCTGAAATATATTAAGCTTTCAGTACAATTTATATGATTCCTACCTCGCAAAGATTATGCTGGAGTAGTAGACTCTAAAACTAGAGGATTGTTTATCTATATCTTGGTATAGTCATTGAGTATTGAATCAGGAATTCCATATGGAAATTACGTATGATACGCCAGTGACCTCAATATAACCTAAAAAACAACGAATGTCAAAAATCTAGTGTTTATCCCCAGAATTGAATAAGGATAGAACTATATAACTGTTTCACAAACACTTTAGAGTGAGAGGAGACGAGGATCTGTCCGTACCCTGTTGAGATGACAAATACGTCAGTTTGCATCAAGGGACCCTAGATTTACTGACAGTACTGACCAGTTGAATTCGGAATGAGATAGTTATAAACATCTCAATTCGGAATATATCCCATGTTGTCATTGTCATCAGTGTCATGCTGTCATGTCATTCGAAACTCTTAAGTCAATTATTCTAGGAAAACGTAAGATCAAAATTTTTGGAAAGATGAAGAGATTATTCTAAAATACATACAACAATGTAGAATGTAGGTAATAGTATCATTTTCAAGCTCCCTCAAAATTTATGGTGATATAAGAAAGTCAGTTATTTTTAATTCATTCAAATATGGAAACAGCCTCCTCCAGTTCAAATGAATCTATCAAATTCAGTAATCTTGCAGTGAGGAAAAAATCAGAAGAACTAGAAATTGGACGTGGCATTCGATCAAGTTTGGTATCTTGGAAACCACTGTGCTCTTCTGGTGACAATGCTGGCTCCTATGAGCCTGAAATACCACTGGAATCCAGTACATCTGTTGATAACTTCTCCACATCAGAGTTAGATGGTGAGGAAATCATTGTACAGGAACCTGGACAGAATACTGAAGATGTATCTTGGCTGTCTGGAGGACAAATTGGTTCACGAAATTCTATTTTGATATTCAGGAGTTCAGCTCTCGCCAATGCTACAGATTATTCAGTACAGAAAAAACCTGCTCATATATTACACATCACTTACAAAGTACTCCAAGCAGAAACAAAACTTCTGGCAAAATTGCTAGAATGCCATGGAATAAAAGAGGTGGTGAATAATTCTTCAGATTTCAACTTACTTTGGACAGGCTCTCATCCAAAACCTGGAATTTTGAGATCACTGGCCCCTCATCAAAGAGTTAACCATTTTCCTAGATCATATGAATTAACACGCAAAGATCGTCTTTATAAGAATATAGAGAGAATGCAGTTAACAAAAGGTTACAAGCATTTTGATTTCATACCTCAAACATTTGTCATGCCTCTGGAACATAGAGAACTATGTACAGCCCATCATAGGATAAAAGGACCATGGATTGTTAAACCAGTTGCCTCTAGCAGAGGACGAGGTATTTTCTTAGTTGAAAATCCAAATCAAGTGCCTCTAGAAGAGCCAGTTGTTGTAGCAAAATACATTTCTAATCCCCTTTTAATTGCTGGCCACAAATGTGATTTGAGACTCTATGTAGCAGTCACCAGCTTTGATCCATTATTGATTTATATTTATGAAGAGGGCTTGGTGAGATTTGCTACTGTAAAATATGATTCTAGTCATAAACAGCTATGGAATCCATGCATGCATCTTTGTAATTACAGTATTAATAAATACCATAGTGATTATGTTAAGTCTGATGACCCCTCTGCTGAAAATATTGGGCACAAATGGACATTGAGTGCTCTACTGAGACACCTCAAAGCTGAAGGTAAAGATACACTATTTCTGATGTCACAAATAGAAGACCTAATAATTAAAGCCATTCTTGCTTCAGCAAACTCAATTATATCAGCATGTAAAATGTTTGTTCCCTACAGCAATAACTGTTTTGAATTATATGGTTTTGATATTTTAATTGATAAGAATCTCAAACCTTGGTTATTAGAAGTGAACCTTTCACCATCCCTGAACTGTGATAGTCCATTAGATGTAAGATTAAAATCAGCTATGCTGGCAGATCTTTTAACATTAGTTGGTGTCCCTGCTGTTGATCCAGTTATCAGGGTTATCCCAACCCCAGTTAACAAGAGAAATCAAAGTTTGAAGATGAAATTCAACCATTGCCGAAGAATTCATTCAGCTGATGGGCTCAACAATTCTCACCATAAGCATCAAAGTACTTCTTCAACAAGTACGATATCTTATCAATTATCACCTGAAGAATCAAGAATCATTAGGTCTGCCACAACCCAGTTTGAAAGAAGGGGAGGTTTTGTAAGAATTTTTCCAGCTATAGACAGTTGGGCAAAATACTCACAGTACTTAGATCCAACTACTGGTATTCCTATATCTGGCACACCATCCAGTAGTTATGGCATCAATGTTTCACACAATTACAATCTCATCCTTCATAAACACTTTTTTCCTGGCATCATCACTATATCAAAAAATATTGACCGATCTCTCACAAGAACCAAATCTACTGATAGAAAAAGTAATTTGCATAATAATTATTCCTTGGTGGATAGTGGTGGATTGACTGGACGGCATGATAGGTATGAGAGAATGTTGAAACAAGGCCATAAAGCAAATACTGTTTCCAAAAAATCAATAAAAACCACACACAAAATAGAATTGAAAGATAAAGTTATGGAAATGTTGAAAAGTGGCAAGAAAATATCACAGTGTGAAGCAAGAAAAACATTCAGTCAATATTTGATTTGTATATTGAAGAGAATTGTTTCAGGTCCTGAAGAGAAAGATTATGTAGAAGTTGTTTTGAAGTTCTTGCAAAGAGCATCAAATTTTTTAAGGAGTTCATATAGTATGAGTCCTCCAAATACCAAGTTGGATTATAAAGCAAGAGCAGCTATTGTAGCAAAACAGCTAAATGATTTTTTGTACATTTATAACAAAGAAACTGAACTGTTCATTGTGAAAAATGAGAAAATAAATCATGTACCTTCAAAGCTTTATGAACAGTTTCTTGAGTGTGCTGAAGAAGATGATTTAGAAGAGGTATTGATCCATCAGACAAATCAGAATATGTCAAACCAGAGCATGACAACAGGATTTCGAGGTATTTTGAAATGCATACCAAATGCACCTAGATCACATGGCCTGAAGGCTCCATTAACTAGTAAGAACAAGCATTTGAACATTGCTTCAATTTCATGATTTCATCTATTTATTTTTCATTACCTACCCATTAAAGTTCATTCATCTTAAAGAGTCACTGCATTGATATTGTATTGCTTTTCTTCATTCATGACAACAATTCTGTGATATCTGTACATTAGCAACATAATGAAAAAATAATGATATGGCACTAATAAAAATCCATAAATTGAATGTCATGGTGAAATTTTAGATGACCATTCTGGTCAGCATCTTGTATTTTTGAGACATTTACAAATTTCTACAAAGAACGGACAGGAAAATATAATTATGGGAAATTGGCTCTTGGTCCAATTGGCTGAAATTTTCATATGTTGTGGGATGGCTCATTAGAAAAATATGGGAGTCCAAAAAATGTTGTATGCTTAGTTTCTGAGATATAAGCTTTGTAAAAATGTCCTATCAGGGTAGGATGGACAAAGGAAAAAACTTTTTTAGTATAAATTGAACAAAGTAAGCTAGAAAACGTATTGATCAGCACTCATAAACATGTCTAGTTATAATCACATAAATTTTAGTATAGGAGGCATGGTAAAAAAATTCATTTTTCGGAAAAAAAATCTAGCACTATTCCAAAATCAACAAGTTATATTTTGGTAAGACATTATAGTTTTACTCTATTATTGGCTTCAAAAACTTATTTCGATTCTTGATTACTACCTCTGTTTGAAAAATGAATTTTTTCACCATGCCACAATTACTATTATGATTTACTATAATTTATTTGATTATAACTAGACATGTTTATGAGTTCTGATTACATTTTCTAGCTCTTTTCGTCTCATTTATACTGAGAAAAAAACAGGTTTTTCTGTGTCAATCCTACTAAACTAGACATACAAAACTTTTTAAAATTACATATTTTTTTAATGATCCATCCCAAAACTACATAGTAAAATTTCAGCTAATTCGACCAAGAGACAATTTCCCATATTTTTGTTCAGGGTCCTTCATCGCTTTTATCTTTGAAAGCACATATTTATTAATATTTTTTTCTCTTGTATCTATAGGTATTTAGTTGTGTAATTGATGTGTACTGCTTAAGGGTACTCAATTCAAGCTTTTTCTTGTTTTCTGCACTAAACAAATCAATACATAATATACCTATAGATAATTTGGATCTAACTTTCTTGATAAATTCTGTAGGTTGTCTATAGGTATTCAGTTGTGTAATTGATGTGTTGTGCTTAAGGGTACTCAATTCATGCTTTTTCTTGTTTTTTGCACTAAAGAAATCAATACATAATATACCTATAGATAACAGATCTAACTTTGATCTAACTTTCTTGATATATCCTGTTGGTTGTAGTTTCTTTTTGCCTAACAAAATTGTATCAGCTTTTGCATACTCAGAAAAACAACATTTTCTTCAACATTTTTCATTAGATAGGTAGGTACTTATAATCAAATTCCAGATTTTCATGGTGCATCATACAAATAATATAATGTGGCCAAAGAACACTTGAAATTTGAAGTTTATGAATAACAAGAAAATGAAGGTGATATTTTTCTATTTCTGACATTTGTTTAATTTAGTTTGCTCATGCAATGTGTACCAAAGAAAATGTTAAGTGTATTCAAGGTGTGTATTGTTCCATTCCACTACTTCAAGATCTTCAAGATAGAGGGTGAGTCAGTTTTAACCAGAATAACTTCAGGAATCAATGAAATACATGAATATATTAGGGTTTTCTCTCGGGTTTTCTTGACGAAAAAACTGAACTGTTTTGAAATGATTACTTGTTCATTGGAAAACCAATCTCATTGGTTTAAATCTTGTTTGAGAGGATATTAATTTTATAATTGAAAATATTATTTGTAGCAAGGTCAATATGCTACAATATGTCACTGCATTTGAAATTTCACTGTTTGAAATCTTGAACAGAAATACAATCAATATTTAGTTACAACTTGATTGAAAAATGTTTGATGAAGAAGAATAGGTACCTATAGGTGTATTGAAAAATGTAAAATTCATCTGAAACGCGCAATAGAAATAAGAAGGACAATTTGCCAAAAACAATAATTCCCAGAAAAATTCTTTCTACTTTTATGTTGAATACGGGAGCATATTCCTCTTTTTTTTTAATTTTTGAAAATTAAGTTGGTGTATGACAATCATAGCGCTCGTTGTATTGTTGATTGACTCATAGTTGAATCGGAAAGGGTTTCACAAATATAGGGTGCTTTTCAAAACTAAGAAAACACTTTTTACCTTCATGAAACACAATACAGGTTTTCAACATAATTTGTGTTTGACGATATCTCAGGATAGACTGTTGGCCCGCGACACAGGGTTTATCGATATCCTAAGTCGGTATGCCATTTAAGGGACCCACTCACTTAGTCCAAGTTAATAGGAAGGAGTGCCTCGGAGAGTCGCAACCCAGTCCTTGCCCCGGCCCTGACCTCACCTTCGGTTGGAAAAAAGTTCAAAATTTTGTTTAAGAAGAAGCTCGGCAATGAAGTGCAATGATCTTATCTCACGAAAATTGGAGCGCTTGCCGGTTTGCATACGCCTAGGTCAGTCCCCAAGGGCGGCATACGAAGCGGAAGTGGCAATTTTTCAGTGTTATAGTCTATGATCTAAGAATGTATGCCCTTTGGCGAAACAATGAATTCGGACCCATTAATCAGTTTCCCGACATTTGCATACGATTCCGGAGAGGGGAGCTCGACTTATTGGAACATCAATTGACTGGACATCTTTCAAATAATCGATGATTTAAGTTCGTATGCACACCTCTGGACCGATAACGAACTAGATAATCTGGAAATCTCATAATCTCACTACACATGAAACCGGGTCAAAGATTAACTTCCTGGGAGTGATGGGGGTATTCAAATACGCAAATTGCAGATATATTTGTATTCATTCATCAGAAATTTACAGCTCAACAAAATTACATGTGTGAGAGGTTTAGTACCAAGAAATTTTTTGTGTGATTTTAATTTGAAAAACAGGGCTTTGAAAAGATGATAAAAAATTGACGACAAAATACTCGCAGGATGATCAAGAGGAATCGTACAAGAAGAAGAGGGGTGGATTATTGCTCATGATCGAAACTCACAATAAATCGAATTGAAATTCTTCCCTGGGGCATATGGGACTGCTCAGCATAATACTGGCGTCTAAAAAATATATAAAGAATGTACATTTAATTTGTTGAATGTTTTGGGTATAGTGTGGGATCTGTATCCAGAACTTTAATCTACATTTTTGTTTTTCACTTAAAAAAAAAATATTTGAAAATGAAATTATATTAAATGAAAACAACATTATATTCCAAAGAAAATCATTATCTTCAGAGAGTCATCTTCGTTCTCGCTGTCTGAAGATGATTCTCCAGAGTTGTCATCAGTAACTGTTAGTAAGAAAAGTATTTAATCATTGAAAAATCTTGGCATGATCGAAATATATACCTGATACTTTCTCAGTTGAAGTCTCAGAGATTATGATGTCACCAACCTCTGCTGGAAGGGCTTCACCAAGGTACCAATTGAAATCGTACCCAAAAATATTATCAAGGGCCCAGCCCCCTTCATTATTTTTTATGCACTAGCGGGCCGTAAAGTGCACTTTACCGCCCGGTTTTGCGGGCGTTAAGTCGCACTTTACCGCCCGCGGGCTCATTATGGCCCACGGGCCGTAAAGTGCACTTTACCGCCCGCTGTACTCTGTCACCTTATATCCACATATCAATTCATGAAAAACCTATGATCATATTCCTAGATTCTAATATATCCAGCGGTATATCATAAACTTCTTCTTTATCCGATTCCATAGTCTCGCTATTATTATTATCACTAATTTTACTTTTCAGTCAAAGAATGACAATTCAGCTCGTTTATTGGATGTATTGCTATTGACAACAACCATCAGATCGATTGACAACGTCAAAATTAAATAAGTTAGGTTTATATACTGGGTATGCATATTGTATATCTCTGAAGAATGAATCTCTTCTAGAGCTGAAAGAGTTTTACTATTACGATAATTGCAATATTCGTACGATAATTTTCATATGTAAATCATCCATGAACATCACGCTTCTCTTGATTACTGAATTAATACGTAACAAATTGAATTCTGGGGAATATTAGTTTGTCGAAATATATAGTCATTACTTATGAGTCAGAAAATAAACCACTAGTGCATAAAATTTTGTATGTATCTCGTGCGTGAAATGCGTTTATGGCCTTCAGCGTGTAATGGCCCTCGGCTAGCGCCATCGGGCCATTATTCACGCCACAGGCCATAAACGCCTACTTTACGCCCTTGATACATAAATAACTATTATATAACTGACAATGACATAACTTCATCAAACCCAGTATAGTTGATTGGCGTTTAGCGATAAGATTCACACGCTGCACTTATACAGGGTGTCCCGAAATTAGCCTGCCATACTTCACCAGCGGCTTCTTCGACCAAAAATAGGAAGAAAAGTTCTAATGAACATGAGTCGAGAAACGTCTCCTAAGGGAGCTACGGCCCCCTGAAATGGGGCTCCTGAAGATGATATTTCGTGAATATTTCCGAAACGCCACGTGATGAAATGATGCAATTTGGCACAAGAAATAATAACTCCATGCCGAATGCGGTGAATATAAAATCATTTCAGAGTTTCATTCAGGAATGTATAATACAGGGTGGAACTACATTAAATATTGCTCAAACTTTTTCGTGTGCATAGTTTTTGACAATTTAATCTCTGATTATGAAAATCCCATATAATGAAAAAACTACTTAATTTGTTGTGCATTTTTTTCCATTTCCACTACGCCTCCTTGCATTGGTATGCATAATATCTGAGATGTAACAATATTTTCAAAATTGCTTTTACTCGATAACAATACATATGATCGTCACGGAACAAGAGTTCCTTTTTTCTGTAAAAAGGTGTGAAATTTCATAATCCGAGATTAAATTGTCGAAAAATATGCATACAAAAAATTTTGAGCAATATTTAATGCAGTCCCACCTTGTATTACACCCT